CCCCAAAACCCCAAAACCCCAAAACCCCAAAACCCCTTAAAATAATACCAATGTGGAATAATAAAAGATGGAAAATTATCAGACTGACCCATGCGTTGAGTTCGTTATTTCTGCTCGTTCAGCCCAATTTCATTGAAATTCTGTTTCTGGGAAAACAACCTCTGAAACATCACAGTCTTCCAAGTTAAAGACAGACTGCTTTTCTTTAACCATTTCAAGTTTGTCTCCTTGTTCAGGAATCATTTCAATACTAAAGTTTAGTATTTTCGCTTACAGTTTGTTAAATTTGATTCTCACTCTGCTCGTTGTATTGCCTTTTACATTTCTTGGAGTGCCTGAAAAAGCCCAATCAGGGCTTCTCCAAGAAGTTCTTGCAACTGTACTTGTCTCTATATTGATCACAATACTTTACATACCAACAGTTGGAGTATTTTGAGAACTCTCTTGAGCACAAATATCGATTATTGAGTGTTCTTTATCCTTATTAATGCTTGATATAGACTCAAACTTTCATTCCTTCCTTGGCATATTGCTTTTCTTAGTAGAGTAACTGTCTAATTTCAATTTATCAAGATCTTCCTTGATGTTTGGATGCTTCTTGTACTCATTTGAGTTCCAAGGTTCATCAGCAAGGTAATCTTCTATCTAAATTAATGAGTCAGTTGTAATAAGAGAGTAATACCTTAAGTGCCTGGTATTTTCAAGTGTTAATCTCTAGTTTAGGTTTTGTAACTGTTGGTGTCTGTTTAGCTGTAAAACTATCTACAAAATAATTAGTGGAAATTAACCAGTTAATGATTATAAGTTGGTGAAAACTTACCTACAAAGGAGTCAATATCAAGAGAAATCCTTTTACGGTCTCTTCTCTTAAATTTATTGACTTTTATTGTTCCATAAGTCGTTGTTGGTTCCTGATCAACTTGCTTATACCCATACCTATCTTTACTTTCTGTTGATGCTTTCAAATCAATTACTATTTCTTTTTGAGTTTTTAGATTTGGAAAAGTAGGAGAAAAATTAATATCTTCATTGTAAGAATACTCCTTTCGCTCATCTGATTCTAGAATGGCATTTTCTTTATTTTCTCAGCCTCCATCTATCACTCCAATAACTTTAATTTGATCTGATGATGGATTGGAGAAATCCTTGCTGTCTCAAGAAAGAAACTCTGAAGCTTGAGAAAACATAATGTCATTATTTATAGATTTGTTCTGAGAGTTCTTTCGTCCTAATACCTCTGAGACTCCTTCTGATTTAAATTCTGTGCAAATATCTGCGTTCATTCTGAGTTTCCTAAATTTTAATGAATAAGTTTACCTCTTATTGTATTTCTTTTCCTCTTTATTATGCCCAAGATCTTTAAACTGCTCGACTGATGAAGAGTTTGGTTCAGTAGGAAAGCTCTTGCCTACATGGTTAGCATAAAAATCTTACTATCAGAGATTGATTGCTCTTCTATCTCAACTTTTAGGATATTCAAGTCTTTTATACTGGATTTCATTGTTAAATTGTTATCTATATCATCAATTATGGCTGCTGTTTCGCGACCAATTTAAACAATCAAATTATATCATTACATTTTTGGGTGCTTTCTATTGAGGAAATAGAGTTACAGCTTGAGTCAGAGGAGGAAGACCTGCTTGAGTCACCACAGCTGGAGGAAGAGTTCATAACTTTGCTACTTTCTGCAGAATTTTGCTCAATAAGCTTAATGGGGTTATGCTTTGATTGGTACTCGTAATTTTTGCCTTCTTCATCGCCAGATTCAATTTCTTGTCTAGAGAAATGCAATTTGTACGGAACGAGGGGTAAAAATTTACCTTCTAACTCTTTTAATGTTGTAATAAAATTTGCTCATCACTTGATCGTCTTGACTGTTCATGATGTTAAGCCGAATAAAAATTATAATTCAATATTTCTGCATTAAACGGGGTTTTGGGGTTTTGGGGTTTTGGGGTTTTGGGG